AACTTGTATTTGCATTTAAAGTGGAAGGTGTAATAAATCTCTGTGTTGAGGGCGAACTAAAGGTTGGGGGGGGGAAGTTTGCTGAGAACCCCCTACAGTTACATTGTCAAATGCCATTTTGAAAAGGGATTTATAAGAGGGCTCCTGCTGAGTTACAAAAAATCTCTGGCCTGGGCAAAAGCCAAATAACTTCTCTGTTATTTGGTGAGACACAGAGAAAGTTATAATTCTATAATTCAAACATGCTACTAGGAGGCTGCTCAGTCAGAGTGGGGGACAGTGTTTTGGCGGAAAAATCTGCCTCACAGTGAAGAAGCAGCAGGGGTCTGTCAGCATCTATGCTTGGTTTGTTGGCCCTCCATGGAAACTGGTTGGCCACTGTGTGAAACAGGATGCTGGAGTAGATAGAGCACTAGTCTTATCCACCAGGATACCTTATGTTCTAAAATAATTGCTCAGCACTTTTTACCAGCCATTTACCTTGCACCTGTCCTTATTTGAGCATTCTTTCTGCTCTAACAACTGACAAGCTGCTTCCATGCTGAAAACTTTTTTTGTTCAAAGAGGGGAAAAATATACCTGCTTCAAATTATGATGTAAACACTAATATAGATGACTAGGAAAAAGACGCGTTGTGGAAATAAATACAACGGCCTCTAGAAAGAGGCTCTGGGCGGGTGCTCCGGCCTTGGACACTCAGTGTCAATTTTCTGTGGTGACCTCAGCAGGGTATAATGACACCGTCCACCATTTTCTCCAGAGGAATTGATCTCTGCTACCTAAAAAACAGTTGTAATTTTGAGTGATCTCCAGCCCTCACCTGGAGATTGGCAACAATGGTTCCCAGAAGGGAATGGTTGGTTTGGAGGGTGGAGTCTATGGCTTTGTACCTGACCGGGGTCCCACGCCTCCTGAAACCTCACCCTCTCCAGGCTCCATCCCTCACATCTCCAGGAATTTCCCACCTGGAGTTGGTAACCCTAGCGCCTTTCCAGCCAATCATCAGCCTACCTGTATTTCCTCCTCACTCTTCGGCTTTCCACCCCCCACACACCTGCAGCCTCTCCGTGCTCTGAAGCCCTGACTGCTACGTCAGACTGGCTGTCATATGGGGGTCACCTCAGCAGCATATAAGGATACAGAGCCCACCATTTTCTCCAGTTGAACTGATCTCTGCCATCTGGATAGCAATTGTAATTCTGAGTGATCTCCAGCCCTCACCTGGAGATTGGACAGATTTTACCTCAGAACAGCAAAGTGTTTAGAATGTTAGAGGCAAGAGCCAATCAAGTCTCGTTGTTAGCCGCCCTGAGCCTTCGGGGAGGGTGGGATAGAAATCCAAAAATAAATAAATAAATAAAAGTCGCATGTGCAAACGACCTCTGTGTTCCGAGGCAAAGGCCAATGAGGCTGCATATGCAAATAACCTGACTGGCTATGGGGGGGGAGGGAGATTCTGAGTGACACACCAGGGCGCCAACCAATTTCGGAGCGTGTGGAATGTTCTAGAGAAGTGCCACCACCATTCGCCTTTTATATATAAGGGAGATTCCATGAGCTATGCATTGCAATTGTAACAGTGTGTGTGTCCCTGTAACCTTTTTATTAGTTGACTACCTTTTTTCCTATTGGTTGTTTTCAGTGCCTATTCTCTTGTGATTTTTTTAAAAAGGCCATGAATATAAATAAGTGACATAGCTAGTGCCATGCCTATCTGTCAGAGTTTTGAAAAAAAACCCAAGTACTTAGAAGACTCCAGAGCTTTCCTTATAGATGTACAATCTCTTTATTTCTATGGAATAGACACTGGCTATGCAGCCTCTATTTATTTGAATCCTTTGCACCTCCTTCTTTTCTAAAGAGTTTTTTCTTCAGTTGTAAAAATACTAAGACAGACTGTGGTATATTAGTCCCCATGCTGAATAAGTAGAAATGTCTAAGTTCGAATTCATTATTACGTTGCAGAGAACAGATGTAAAAGATCTAAATGCCAAAGCTAGAATGTCAAGTGTGTTTATAATGTCAAGCGATACTTGTTACATTCACTGGCTGTCTGCTATATTGATCATAACTAGCACACTGGTAAAGTAATTACAGCTGATGTGGCACATTCAATGTATAAGCAGGCATAGAGTTCAAAGGAATCTGAAAGGAAAAAATATTACTAGGTTGTTAGTCTCTTCCTTTCACTTATCAGGTTTGATAATTTATGATGGGGAAAATAGCTTGTACAAACTTATTTATCACACATCAGCTTGCAGCAGAGTCCTAGCACTTCTTTTTTAAATATATTTTTTATTTTAAAAAGCAAAGTAAAGGTATAAAGGGGATACAGAAACGAAAAAGGGGTTGCATAACACAATTGTGTATATCAAAAATAATTATATATTACAGTGTATGAAACAAAAAGCATATCTCCCCAGCACTCCCTTCATCATTTTATCATTACATTTCTACCCCGCCCTCTGTGCAAGCGGGCTCAGGGCGGCTTACAATAGGGCAACAAGTGCCTTCACATAAAACAGCATAAAAACAGAATAAAATATCACATCACAAATAAAGTGCTCAATAGTGTCAATCTATTAACTTAACAGGATAGTACCCCAAGAATAATACATAGCGATAAGGAGGTTAACGAACCCATAGATGTTACTCGGCCCCATCATAGTTTTTAAAACAGTGTCCATAAAATACAGTGGTATTTAATTTCCGATGGGATACATTTATATTCAGCATTTTAGATTTCAAGTTTCATAACTAATCTGTTTTACGTCTACATTATTGGTTTCGTCTTTACTACACATTTTGTATTACGTATTTTACCACCTCTACCTATTCACTGTAACTTTTAACATAGGTAATATATCCGAATATAGAAAGAAAAACTATTATATATCTCATAATAAAAAAGTAGAAGATATTTCTGCTCAGGGTCAGCATTTATATTCAAGATGTTACATTTGAAACTTCTTCTTATTCTGCTTGAGTCCTAGCACTTCTGAACAGGTACTGTAAGCACTACTTCAGCTAACGGTATGGAGAAATTGACCCTAAGGCCTGGCCTTGCCAAAAATCAAAGTCAGACCACACGGGTTCCCTGCTACACTCTATCGTTCATTATTCTGGCAATACGTAAAATGGCATGATAAAAATCATACTGTTATACTAAACATTTTATTCAGAGTTTGTGCTTAGTTTCAGAAGGTAGCCTTGCTGGTCTGCAGTAGAACAGGAGCACCTTAGAGGGCAACAAGATTTTTTGGGGTATGAGCTATCTATCTGATCTTTGACTCTTGAAAGCTCACACCTTGAAAATCTTGCTGGTCTCTAGGGTTCTACTGGATCCAAACCTAGTTTTACTCTTATTATCAGCAAAGATGTAGGTGAAAGTAAGGCTGATCAGTGGCAGACTGATCCTCTCACTTTTTTCAGAGTTCCAGAAGAAGGGCTATAACCATTTCTTGCCTTGTGCAAAATATTATTTCTGTGGCAGGGGTGCTTAAGTGGAGGAGGCAGGGGTGGTCAAATTGGTAGTAGGCTGGTGGGAAGGGCCAGGATATGCCACTTGCCTTGAAGCATGGAACAGGTACAGCTGTTGTTCAGCTGCTGTGGCTGTGATTTCCAGGGGAACTCTTAGGTGAGGTGGTATTTAACCCTGGGCAATTCCATTTCCTTCCTTTCCAACAATTGCCCCCTCCAACCTGCTTTTACCACCACTGAGGGGAAAAAATGGGTATCTGAAAACTTTCTCCAGCAGGAATTGGTCATCAGGAGTGAGTTTGTTTTTTAAAACTCTACACCCTGGTCTCCCCTGGAAATCACAGTTGCCGCAGTCGCTATTAAAAATAAAAGTCCTTTAACAGTATTAGAATACAGTATAACATACTTCATAGGAGACTGACAGTGCAATCCTAAGCAGAGTTACAACCTACTAAGGCCACTGACTGGAATGGATTTATGAGCGTAAGCCTGTATAGGATTGCACTGTGAAGTAATTAGCAGGCCTTCTTTCAGTCTGAGAATGTGGTTCATTGTCAAGGTAAATTTTCACTATGCTCAATGGGTGCTTTAAGACTCACCAGGAGATATTAAAGCAGAAAAAGTAACCCACTTTTTCCCTTTTCTCTCAGATAGATACATGGGATCCTGCTATCCAGACAAGCCCTTTTGAATGTTTGCTCTTCCCTCATTCCACTATGATCAATGGATTAGAATTAGGATTTTTTAAAAAATAATAAAAGTGTATTTATATAATCTGTGGTGAAAGTCAGCTAAGTTTTTTTTTAATCATAGAAGCATTTTCTCATCAAAGTCATGGTATTTATCTCAGAAGATTAAAGCTGGTATTTTTAAACCTCCTCCAGAGTTTTAATTATTTTCCTCAAGTAATGTTAGTTATTTACATATAAATCTTCTTTTAAAAGGTTAATCAGTTTTTCAACAGTTGCATTAGGTGTCACCTCTCCAAAGCATAAAGGTTGAAATATCAAAACACCATCACATTAACTTACACCTGTAATAATAACACTGAAAGGGTAAACATATTTTCCAAGTTAATGTTCATTTTTGAAGCCATAAGGATATTGAGGTGTTTCTCAAGTAATCCAATTAAATTTTTGCACTGATTAGTACAAATATTAAGATAATGCAAACTGTGCATTGCCCTTAATTGATCTAGTTGGAAGCCATTCCTATTCAGGAGTTTATCACTGCTCTGTAAATTGCAGGTTAAACAGCCAGTACTTAAAGAAGCAATTCAACAACTTAATCGATTTTTTTTTATTGTTATGTATTTTTATGATTTGTGTGGACAAAAATTTGTAGAATCCGTATCCAGAGGTGGGGGAAATAGCAAAATAGACTTGAAAGATGTCTGAAATGACAGTTCCTCTTTTGTATCTTATTTTTGAGTTGTGGATATGAAGTAAAATTCTCTCTATATATTTAATAGGTTTGTTGTAGTGGTTGTTTTTACAAATTTCTTTTAAGGTTCAAAACTCTCAGACAGTGTTTTTTCTCCCGCATTGTATAATTCTCAGTACATTGGAAAGGTCGAAGATCTTTGAAATCATTTTCAAAAGATTCCCATCACTCTCCACACCATTGACAAATTCTTCTAAAGAGAGTTCTCCTAGAATAAAGACATGGGAGACTTGGAATTAGTACAATAATTAGACAAAATTGTCACCAGATGTCATATATTTCACTCTTGGAAGTTGGAAAGTATAATAACTTTAAAAAGTCCATAAGACGTCTTGATGATCTGAAAAATACCAATCAGTCTCAGCAGAAACAATGTGTGAGTATTTCTGTAGTGATTACACAACAAAATAAAATTATCTCAGACTAGAGTACCAGAAGAGTTTCAAGAAGATGCTAATGAACTACAAGAAGTTACTTTTCTTCCTATTCTTTCTGTGTTCTGAGTCAAACCTCTGCATGAGCAGGCCTGGATCACTTGCACAATGTAATCACAACAGACTCCTGATTCCTAATATAATTACAACAGACTCTGTGGATTAACTCTTTTGGGAGCTGTGGAAGGAGAACGGTCACACATTTGATAGTTAACCAAAATTAGTTAAACATGACTAATGTGTCTTGGCAGTCTGAGCCAGTTACTAAGTGACAACTCTAACAGAGCAACCTCCAAAGTGAGAATTCAGTAATGATAATTAGTTTGTATGTTTATGAAAGACTTGGCTATGGTGGAGCCATCATAGACTTGAAATAGATTAGGGTATAACAAAGGGCTGCAGATTTTCATGTAGCCAGTTTTTATATCCCGTTTTTTCATCATGGAACTCAAGGCACCTTACAGATTATTCCAAGGTCATCTCCTCCCACCAGATCCAGGCCTGTTTAGTTTCAGCAAGGTGTCTGTCACTGTGACCTAAGCAAGTTTATAACCTAACACCATTGACTTGGATCCAGGTGGGCAGTAGTGTTGGTCTGAAGCAGTAAAACAAAGCTTGAGTCCAGTGGCAACTTTAAGTGGCAACTGGTCTACATTTATTGACCCAGTACATTTACAAGCTTCCATTTGTGTTTTATTTCTAGAGGAAAAAAGTCACTTGAAGATCCACATAGTCTTACCATCGTGGTTGATGTCTATCTTCTTGAATACCATTTCTGTGAACTCTTCAGGAGTTGTTTCAGAGTAGCCTGTGATAGCCTGAACTGCCTGAAGAAACAGAAATGCAAACGTGTCAAAGACTTGTTGTTTTCTGTTTTGTGAATGCATATGGTAGGTGTTGTGCCACCCACTGCTTGAGCCACAGTGGGAATACGTGTGGATAAAATTTCTAGTAAATCTCCAGTAATGAGGATTAGATATTAAATTAATATAACAGTGCCTAAAGGATTATGGTTTGAATTTGCATATCATTGAAGACCACTCCATGTGATTTATTCTGAAACTGAACTATGTTTTTATCCTACCCTCGAAAATTTGGTATTTCAGGAAGTTCAATGTGTTCTATGTCTCTTGAAGAGAGGATTATTCTATACAGATGTGGGTACATGGTAACAAAGCTTAAAAAAGGTTTCTTACCACAAATAAAATTGTGTATATCTTCCTAATGAAGTGAGTATTAGAATAACGTCACAGTCTTTATCACACAGCACAATAAAAACACCTTTTAATCTAGATCTGTGTAAATGTTTGACTGGTAGCTATCTTCTATCGTGCAGGGACAAGCAAACACACATTCAAGTCAATATCAGTTTTACCTTTGAATTTCAGTAGATGGAATGCAGGCATGTGACACAAAACCCTTGTCTGAACTCTCTCTACATCAGTATATCTATGTCTGAGCAATGGCCCCACAAGATAGAGCGAAAAAAATTGTACATGGTGGGGCCATGTACAAATGGAGGGATTTTTCTGCACATCTAGGGGATTCTCCTGTGAGAAAAACCTCCTATTTTTGTAACTGTTCAAGAGGTTATAATTCCTCCAAAACAGAATGACTGGGGAGGGAGATGCTGAGATAGTGACAGGACTATGGGAGAAAGTGGTGACTAGTCTGGGAATGGATAAAGAGGTAGGCAGAATGGAATGGGGGAAGGCAAGAAAGTGGAAGCTATCATGGGGGATTAGATTTCTTACTGCAGGTCCCCAGCTTGTAGAAAACCAATGCATAAGGACACACTGCATTTGAAGTGGTACAGTCTTTGGAAATCTGTACACCTGTTCTGAATATTTGAATAAGGTCATTAAAATGGCCAAGATATAGAACTGCCACCAACAATATGTGTCTCATTTCCTTGTAACGTATAACACACAAAGCACACTATCCTGTGCTGTGTGCTCCCTGCCAGCCAGTGAAGTGAGTTAACATAAGAACATAAGAGTTTGGGAAGATCAGATGACCAGTACAATTGTATTATGCCATGTATTACATCATATATTGTTTGTGATAGGAGGAGAAAGAGAAAAGACATATTTCCTGTAAAATCTTATTCAGGCTCCCTTAAATCAATGGGTGTAAACTCTCATAGTTCTGCATATGATTGCACTGTTAATCTATAAATGCTTACAGTTCTTAGGGGCCTTGGTTGCCACCACACAAAATGAACTAAAAGCATCTACCAAAAAATAAATCCTATGCATCCCAGAATGTTTGTTTTGAAGTATTTTTTATCCTTGTTGTGAAGCTGACCAGGGTGATTTTGTCATAGAGGTTTTTTTCCAATCTGGGTTTTTGTTGTTTTTGGTGCATCCACACAACGTCATCCCTTAATCACCTACTTTCCTGGTTTTCTCCTGCTTTTATCCAGTCTTCCTCAGACTAGTTTAGCATGATCTTTTTGGAAAGGTTGCTGCATTCTTTGTGGATGAGAAGGTGCACATTTTTGTAGGTCCACACAAGAAGCTGCCTTATACTGAATCAGATCATCAGCAGTGTTCCCTCTAAGCTGAGTTAGAGCTCACAGTTTTTTAGCCTCCAGCTCACACATTTTTGTCTTAGCTCAGGAAGGATGGCTCCAGAGCAAACTAATTTATGCAGTAGCCAAATCGCTTGCTCACAACTTTAATGCCAGTGGCTCAGAAAGTAGAATTTTTGCTCACAAGACTCTGCAGCTTAGAGGGAGCATTGGTCATCAGTCTATCAAGGTCAGTATTGTCTATTCAGGCTGGCAGCAGCTCTCCAGGGTCTCAGGCAAAGGTCATTCACATCACCTACTGGCAGATCCTTTAACTGGAGATGCTGGGGATTGAACCTGGGACCTTCTGCATGCCAAGCAGATGCTCTACCACTGAGCCATAGCACATCCTCAAATGGTGCCATTTTCATTGACTCAGCCTGCTGCTGATACCATTCCTGTGTTCCTCTGGAGGGCTTCCCTGGGGCTTTCGAAAATAGTAATACTGCTATGCATTGTTATAGCATTATAGCAATTACCGTTTTAAAATTACTGGTTTTAAAAGCGATAGTAAACTGTTGTGGGGATTACTTTTTAAATATCTCTGCATTGGCAGTGGCACTGAGAGCTACACAGAGAATCATGGTGAACTGAGTACATATATGTGAGAATGGGCTGTTGCCCTGATCCACACAGTGATGGAATTCAGAGATCCATCCTTGAAATCCATCTATATATCTAATAGCGAAGGTGCCCCCCTGCGTGCAGATATCTAAATCTGCACATCGGAGGCACCTGGGGGGCAGGGAGTTTTTTCTGCATACTTGGGGCAGGTGTGCACAAAAATCTAAAAAGTAGAAAAATATATAGGGGGGCTATAACCCCCCAAAAGTAAAAGAGCATTCCCTGTGCATGCGCAGGGAACGCTCTGCGAACTGCCTCGCCGCCGTCGCTTGGAGGGGGAACTCGAAGGCTTGGCGGGCTGGCGGCTGTGAGCCACTCAGCCGCCACCACCGCACAGGGAGGGAAAGCTTGGTGGGCTGGCCAGGCCTTGCCGCCGCTGGGGGAGGGGGAGGCTTGGCGGGTTGAGCTGAGGCCTCACCGCCGTTGCCATGGGGGGTGGGGGAGGTTTGGTGGGCCTGGCAACTCGGAGCTGCACGGGCCTTGCCGCCGTTGCCGGGGGAGGTTTGGCGGGCCTGGCAGCTCGGAGCTGCATGGGCCTCGCAGCCATTGCTGGGGGAGGCGGGGGAGGTTTGGTGGGCCCAGCAGCTCAGAACCACACGGGCCTCGCCGTCGGGGCCAGGCAGGGGCGGGGAAGAAGGCTTACCTGCGGTAGCTTCCTCCTTCTTGACAAGTAAGGGGAGGGAGGGGGGAAGGAGAAAGGTAGGCGGGCTGGCCTCACCACCACCACTGCGGGGAGAAGGCTGGGCTCACCTGCTGCCGCTTCTGCAGGCTGGGAGCTGTGGGGAATATCCCCCCCGCAAGTATCGTGGGTCCCGCCTCTTGTAACACCCTAACTGCTGCAATCTATGGGAGGGGGCAGGATCTTAGAGCAGCCACAGAATCTTCTTTCCAATCAAAGAATTCTAGGTCGAGGTGAAAATGACAAAACATCTGTCTAGCTGTATCTTATGAAACCTTGGGAAATCATGATCTTGCCAGATATCTTTGAAATGGTCAGTAAACTAAAGCTGGAACACTGATGTGTTCAAATAATTGATTTGCCATATCAAACATATGTGATGCTAAATACAATTTCACAATTTCCTTACCCTGAATATTTTTAGAAGTTCTTTTTTTTCAATAGCTCCATTTCCATCAGCATCATATAGCTTAAAATACCATTTCAATTTTTGGTCGATTTTCCCTCGTATGATGAGATTTATTCCAGCTATAAATTCCAGAAAGTCAATAAAACCATCCTAAAGAAGAAAGGATAGATAGGTGTTTAGCATGCACAATATTTCATTTATTCAGCCAGCAAATAACCCACAAGGACTTGAAAGTGGCATCTCATCACTCCTCACTATTTTCTCTTTGCCTTTCCCTGAAAGCACCCTTTTCTTGTTTCCTTCTCTTTTCCCCATCTACCAGCCAACCTACCTTTATCTGCCCCCCCCCTTCAGCTTTCCCTTCTTCCTCCCCCTGGCAGCCATTCCCCGGAAAAAGTATGGCCCAATTGTGCAGTGCCAGCCAGTAGGCTGAGCTAAGTTTCATGGTGCCAACCAGGCTGGGTCCAATTGCACTGTGGGAAAACCATAAGGACTTCAGGGGGGCACTCACTTTCCCCTGTATCACCTTTCCCAGACTATTTTCTCCTTCCCTTCTCCTGGCAACCCCCATATCATTAACTTTTCCCACTTCTTTCTCTCCCTTCCACCCATCTATTAACCTATCTTTTATCACATTCCCCCCCCCCCCCAGCTATATTTATTATTTAACTGAAGCCAACTCCAGACCAGACAGAGGTAATCCTAGTTGGGAAGGCTGACATTTAGAGGAACTAAATCCACTTGTCCTAGATGGAGTGATGTTGGCTTTTTCAGAGCAGGTTAAGAGCTGGGGGGTACAGATGGACCTGACTTGATGCTTGAAAAGCAGGTTGGCATGGTTGGAAGCAACTTGATGGCATTTAACACACCATGACTGAGAAAATCAACTGATCTGTAAAAAGGATACATTTAATCTTAATTTTATTAGTAGTTTAAGAAAGCAAAAACTAATTCATATATTTTAGGCTACCTTAGATCACAGGGACTGTGGCTCACTGGCAGAGCATCTGCTTGGCATGCAGAAGGTCCCAGTTCAATCCCTGGCAACTCTAGTTAAAAGGATCAGGTAGGAGATGATGTGAAAGACTTCAGCCTGAGACCCTAGAGAGCTGCTGCTGTTCTGAGTAGACAGTACTGACTTTGATGGACGAAGGGTCTGATTCAGTATAAGGCAGGTTGATGTGTGAAGGAGGTATTTGGTCTCTCTGTGTCTCTCAAAGTTTCTAACCTAATGGTTAGTGTCATCTTCTTTACAGGAGAGAAGCATGGCCTATGAAGAAGTTCATCAGCCCAATCGTGAGAATTGTAGTAGGTGAATTTCTTTCTCAGCAACAGAATTGAAACTGAAGACCGATCCCCCCATTGTTTGGACACTAGGCAATTGCTCAGAGAATTCCTGCACTCTTTCATTGCAGAAAGGTAGATCCCACACATTGCACCATGACTTCCTCTTGGGCGTTCATTATTAGCAACCCATCAAGCATCAGGGTTTTCAATAACCACGGAAAGAATTCAAAATTCTGCAACAAGGGAATCAACACCAAACCAGCTTCATATTCTTTGACCAGACTATATTATGGTGATTGACTAAGTTATGCAACACAGCTGAATTTACATGGGTCTTATTTCAGATGTTGTAAACCTGGAGATGTTTTGGGGCAAGGTTTATTGGCAGGGTTCTGTATCCTTTAAAAAACTCAACATGGCCTGAGTCTTTTTAGCCTAGTCAGAAAGTGGAAGGGTAGTGGTCAATATTCCCTCTAAGCTGAGTTAGTGTGAGGTAGCTTACAGTTTTTTAACCTCCGTCTCACACATTTTTCTCTTCGTTCAGGAAGGATGGCTCCAGACCAGTGTTCCCTCTAAGCTGAGTTAGTGTGAGCTAGCTCACAGTTTTTTAGCCTCTGCCTCACACATTTTTGTCTTAGCTCAGGAAGGAGGGCTCCAGAGCAAACTAATTTATGCAGAAGCCAAATCGCTCGCTCACAACTTTAATGCCAGTAGCTCACAAAGTAGAATTTCTGCTCACAAGACTCCGCAGCTTAGAGGGAACATTGCTCCAGACCAAACTAATTTATGCAGTAGCCAAATCGCTCACTCACAACTTTAATGCCAGTAGCTCACAAAGTAGAATTTTTGCTCACGACTCCCCAGCTTAGAGCAGAGCTGTTGAACTCATATATTACGAGGGCCAGATCTGACATAAATGTCACTTTGTTGGGCCGGGTCATGTGTGCCCTAAAATGTAATGCCAGATACCAGAGATATAAACTGTATATAAAGGACAGCAGCTCATAAGCTCTGAGTTAGTGTATCCTCACTGCAAGGCCTCATGGGCCGGGAGGGGAATGCAAAGGAAAACCTTCATGGGTGGAATGGAGAGCCATTGGTGTAGCAGTGGGCAAACATTCCCACACTGCTTGACTGCTACAGACAAGGTTGTTCCACATCCTGAAGCCACAATTGGGGTGGCTTCTCCCACTCCCCCTCTAAGCAGTCTCCTGTTCCATCCCTTACATTAGTTACTTGTGGGCTGCATAAGAGCCCTGGACAGGCTGGATCTGGCCCCTGGGCCTTATTTCACACCCATGGCTTAGAAAGAGTATTGGTAGTGGTATGCATTGGTAATTAACCAAGCCCAAAAAAACCTTATTTTTTGGGTATTTTTTTTAGCTGTCTAGTGAATGAGGCTGCATTTTGGCTATCCAAAATGGCCAAGCCCTGAAATCCCCCAAAATATTCAGGATTTTCAGGGCCGTGGGATAGATGAACTTAAAGGGCATTTAAAGAGATAATGGTCCCTTTAAATGCCTTCTCTATGCCATGCTGCTCCACAGTGAGTTCACCCAGAAGACATTTAAAGGGCTTGCAGTCCTTTTAAACAGCTGGGTGAACTTGCCGCTTGGAGAAGGCATTTAAAGAGACTGTGAGCCCTTCCAATGCTCTTCGGAGTTCAGCTGTGGCTTGCAGAAGGCATTCCCTTTAAATGCCTTTTTTCTCCTCCATTGGAAACAATGAAGGATGGAGGCACCTTCTTCTGGGGCCCATAGAATTGGACCCCCTGGTCTAATCTTTAAAAAAAAAAAAACCTTGGGAAAAAAAACCTTGGGGGGGGGGGTGAGGAGAGGCACCAGCTGCTATGCTGCAAATTTGGTGCCCCTACCTCAAAAAAACACCCCCCTGAGCCCCAGATTGATTCTCCATTATAGCTTACTAGGAATAAGGCTCGTTGTGGAAATAAATACAATGAGATCTAGAAAGAGGCTCTGGGAGAGTGCTCCAGCTTTGGGCAAACAGTGTCAATTTGCTGTGGTGACCTCAGCAGGGTATAATGACAGAGTCCACAGGAACTGATCTCTAGGGGAAAGTCAGCTGCACAGCAGGGGGTTGAAGAGAATGGTTTGATGGCTGCTGGGCCAAGATTGGCAACAATAGTTCCCCAGGAGAAAATGGCTGGTTTGGAGGGTGGAGTCTATGGCACTGTACCAGTCTGAGGTCCCCTCACCCTCTCCGGGCTCCACCCCTCAAATCTCCAGGAATTTCCATACCTAAAGCTGGCAACTTTATCTCATCCCCTCTCAGCAGCCTCTTCCTAGGCAAAATTCTGTCTTTCTCATTAGCGGTGAGCAAAGCAGCTTACTTCATTCTCTTCGGCTTTGCGATCTGTACAGCAACGCTGTAAGGTAGGTTAGGCAGAAAGTCTGTGGCTGGTCCGAAATCACACAGGCAGCTTCCCTAGGGATGCTCCTGAACAGGAGCAACCAGCCAGGGCTAGTGATGCCATGCCAGTCTGGAGGCATGAAGTCACCCTGAGAGTGCTTGCAGGCCTAGGGTTGCCATTGCCAACAAAGACAAATTGATGCAAAGGAGGATGAAAAAGTCTCCATATCTCTACTTTGCCTTAAATTGGTTTTGATGGCAGTAGAGTGAGAAAATGCCAGAGGCTCTGGGTGGGTGTCGCATGGTAAATGCACCAAACAATTCCTAAAGATTTTCCAAAACACTACTCTGTCGATAAATCGTTTTCTACACTCACAGCGTCCCCTGCCAGTGTTCCCTCTAAGCTGAGTTAGTGTGAGCTAGCTCACAGTTTTTTAGCCTCTGGCTCACAAATTATTGTCTTAGCTCAGGAAAGGAAGGAGGGCTTCAGAGCGAACTAATTCATGCATCAGCCAAATCGCTCATTCACAACTTTAATGCCAGGAGCTCACCAAGTAGAATTTTTGCTCACAGGACACCACAGCTTAGAGGGAGCCTTGAACACATCCCCAGCACTTTGAATTAGCACCAGAGCTTTAAGAGCTCTCCAGCTGTCACCTGGAGATTGGCAACAGCTTGTTTGGAGGGTGGGGTCTATGGCATTGTATCTGTCTGAGGTTCCCCCCCTCCTC